TCTTCCTTCCTCCTTCCTCCCACGTGGGCTCTGATAGCTGGGAGGAGTGATTGGGGCAGTCACTTCCTCCCAGCTGTCTGATGTCATCAAAGGGGGCCCGGTGGCGCTGTTAAAGCGCCCGGCGCTGACCAGGCCCCCTGATAATCCATATCCATCGGGTAGCCCTGACAGCATGGGCCACCCGATGGACCTCTTGAAAGATGGGCCCGGCAGTTTGCTGCGCGGGACGGTGCCACAAAACATGGCAGCTGGTACACGGTCGCTGGGGTCCGCAGGGAGGCCGGGCCCCCTGGAGTTGCGACTGCGGTATGTACGCCACTGAGTGTAACTTACGAAGGGACCTCAGGCTGCAAATGAGCCGAGCGTATTAGTAGCGTATTTAAAAGCTTGGGCAAATTGATCCATATGGTGATCATTCTCCTCTATCTGTCTCTCACAAGCTACTATGTGCTGACACATATCTGCAGGTTCTATGGCCATGTGGTAATGTCAGGATTATATTGATCCAGCACGCAGAATAGTATCACACCTTAGAACTAAGGGTAACATCTTACCGGTCCTTAGAGTGGCTGGACTTAACGTACCCGAGAATAGTCAGAAAACTAGCCGAGATCAGGTACACAGAACGAGACACAGCGATAAGGAAAAGCCAAAAGTCAAGGGTACCAGAAATCAGGGAAGTGAAAACGAAGCCAAAGTCAAAAACCAGAAAAACACGATCAGGAACACACTCTCGGATAACCATCTAACGGAAACCATGACAGGGCAATGAGCTAAGGAATAAGTGTGTTTAAATAACCCTCTTGCAGATCCGATTGGCTGTACCTAGCCCTTGACCCCAAAACATGCGCGTGCGTCTTTTGCGTGACATGACCCGCACGTCAACGTCTTTACCATGGACCGACGTGGTATAATGTATAATTGCATGGGACCGACGTGGTATAATGTATAATTGCATGGGTCTGCAGCAGTCAGCGTGCACCGACATGCCGCACAAGCCGCTTCATGGCAGAAGACCACCGAGCGGCACTCCACTCGATCTTCAGAAGGTAATTATCTCAGTTTTTGCCACATGGATATGAAGGATACGTCACAGCTAACCACTGATGGGAAGAATAAAGAAAAGGGGACCAGTCAGTGCAAAAAAAACATGCTGCAAACTGTGTCAGCACATATGCACAGACAACACAGCCGCACACAACAATAAAACATACAGCATTAAAGGTTCATACTCCTGCACATTCAGCAATGTGGTAAACATGATTCACTGCACCAAATGCCACCTAGGATGCTACATTGGGGAAACCACCCAGCAATTAAACGGCAGACACTCCATTAAACACCACAAAGAAGAATCATACTGCACTCCTGTGGGACACCACTTTACCCAGCCTGGCCACTCAATGAAGGACATAAAAATCAAAGTACTGAAAGGGGGTTTTAAAAATACCCAAGAAAGAAAAACTTTTGAAGCCAGAATGATCAAATTGTTTAACAGCAAGAATAGAGGACTACATATTGATTTGGGCTTCCTGTCCACTACCAACACTTTACATGAATACTCCCCCGGCATTATCTTACTGCTCTGTCATATGTATCAACATTTTAAAATGCTTTCCAATATGTTTATTCTATCAATATTCTATCAATAATATGTGTTTGTGTGTATGTGTATGTATATGTGTTCATTTACTTATGTGTATGCGTATACATGTATGTATATGTATTAAGTGTATACATACACACATGCATACATGTATGTATGTATGTATATGTGAATAGATGTATGTGTACATAAACATATATATATATGTCTATGTATGTGCAGGCACATTGGTATATATGTGTCACGATCTCTTACCTTATTCCATCACGCCCACGTGATACAGGGCAGACTCCTCTTCCAACGAGTTCAGCATGTCCCACGCCAGCCGCTGGAGTCACTTCCCTTTTTATGACGCAGCGCCATGACGTCATTGACACGGTCCTGCATCATCAATACCCAACCAGAACATTTTGGGGGCGTGGCCTTAAAGCAAAAGACGCTTCCTTATAAAAGGGGCACCTTTTGCCTTGTTCCTTGCCCTTTTGTGGTTCCTTGTGTTTCCCTTAGTGCTCTTTGATTCTTCTTGCATATTTACTGTTTTTGTGTACTGACCTGGTTTGGCTTTTGACGTTCGTGTTTTCTGGTTCCCTGACACTGTTTGTATTTTGACCTCCTGATTTCTGGTATCCTGACTCTGCTATTCTTGTATCGTTCTCCTGATCTCTGGTATTCTGATTTTTAGCTATCCTCTGACTACTCTTTTTCACCTACATTAAAGTGGACCATTCTAAGGTTCGGTAATATGTGCTTGGGTTTTCTGTGGGTTTACATACTGGGTTGGGTTATAGCACAACCGTGATAATGTGTAGGTACATGTATTGGTGCTTGTGTGTGGATGGGTGTGTAGGTGTGCATGTACATATATTTTGGCATTTGGCTATATTTATATGTATATTGTATGTACTTGTGTATAGTGTGTATGTTCATGTGTATACTTGTACATATGCACTATTTGTGTATATGTACATGAGTGTGTACGTGTGTCTGTGTATGCTGGATATAGGCCTTCGTGCATATCATGTAACTCTTGGATGGGAATTCATGCATTCTTTATATTTATACCTCCCCCCCCCCTTCTAGCACCATCTTCTGCACTGTTCACTTGTTTTTTTTCTCTCTCTATCCCCCCTCACTCTAATCTTCGCATAAGATATTTACGACCCTCTCTGCTCTAATGGTGTCTATGTTCTATCAAACCTGTGTTTTCTGTACTCATGTCGCTTTAACCCCTGTATCACAATTGAACTTTGAATTCTATGTGTCGTCTTGCTCAGAAATGCTGCCTTACATATTACATGTGACAATATATGGCGCAATGACTTATGGGGCTGGCATAGATTTTTTTTGCCAGGGCTGCTTTGTATTCCCATTCCGGCCCTGGTTGGATCGCCCAATTTCAGCCAAGCCTGAGCTGTCAGACAGCCTCACATTTGACTCTAGAATACTTTGGTATACAAAGGAGTTTATGATCAACTCAATGACTGCAAAACAAGTCCTCCACCGACTTACTTGACAGTTGGTATGAGGTGTTTGTGTTGATATGCTGTGTTTGGTTTTCGCCAAACATGGTGCTCTGCATTATGGTCAAACATCTCCACTTTGGTCTCGTTTGTACAAAGGATGTGGTTTGTTCAGATGCAACTTTGCAAACCTATGCCGTGCTGCCATGTACTTTTTAGAGAAAAGAGGCTTTTTCCCGCCAGCCTTTCTAAACAAACCATACTTGTTCAGTCTTTTTCTAATTGTACTGACAAGAACCTTAACATTTAACATGCAAACTGAAGCTTGTAGAGTCTGAGGTGTAATTCTTGCTTTTTTTTTTATTTCTCTGAACATTGCACAGTCTGACCTTGGGGTGAATATGCTGGGATGTCCACTCTTGGAAAGATTGGCAACTGTCTTGAATCTTATCCACTTTTGAATAATCTTTCTCACTGTAGAATGAGGAACTTTAAATTGCTTGTTAAAGGTCCTAAACCCTTCCCAGTTTTATGGGCAGCGACAATTGCTTTTCTAAGATCATTGCTGATGTTTTTCCTCCTTGGCATTGTGTTAACACACAGCTGAATGCTCCAGACTAGTACTCTGCTGAAACTTTGGCTTTTAATCCCCTAAGGACGGTGGGCATCCTATGCAGTCCTTGGGAACCCGGCTCTAAAAGCTGGCGGGTGGCCTTATACATCCCCTCCATCCAGGGGACTTACCTGCTCGTGGGAGATCCCCCTGCCAGTGATCACGATGGGGGGACTTGCCTGGCATCCCAGGCAGTCCCCCTGCTGCTGATTCGGCCCTTCCGGGCCATGTGATCGTGAGGTCCTTATCCATAGCAGTGCCAGCAGGGGGAGTGCCTGGAATGACAGGTAGTTCCCCTGCTGCCTGAAATAAAGTTTAATAAAGTTTTAAAACTGTTTAAAATTAAATAATATTATATATAAAAATGAAATATAAAATTAAAAATAAATAATTAAATATATATATATATATTGTGATAAAGTGAAGGCAGAGGGGCCTATAACATTTAACCACAGGGGGAGTATGTGTAGTATGTGTTGTAGGCAACACAAACCAAAGCTTAGTTATGGGCCCCTGGGGAGGAGCATTTGGAGAGCAGGGTGGGCCAATGCCCCACTCCGCAGTTTGCATACAACTGGGAGAAATACGTTCCAGGCCAGAGTTTTGATCTGTCTCCAACCCACTGCTCAGCTGCAGATAATCAGCTGCAGAAGTGGGAATAAACCCCTCCCTGCTAGTCAGGTAAAGGGGGATTGCTGGCTTCCTTCCTGGAAGCAGGTAGGAGAGACGCTGTTCTCTCCTGTGAGAGAGTCAAGGAGACTGAGCACTGGGAGTGCAGAAGGAAGCAGTCAAGGTTGGCTTGGAGCACTGGGAGTGCACAAAGGAAAGCAGCAGGCTAGGAGAGCAGAGTGTTGCTATCTAATAAGGTTGGTGCAACCCAATGATATGTTTTTGTTAGTTTAACTCTGATAGAGAGGGATATTAAAAGTGAGTCAGTGCTCAGACGAGCTAGGATTTTGTTTAAAGGGGAAACCTGTTATATTTATGTTTTAGTTGTGTTGCTGTGTGGACTTACCAATAAAATTGCCTGGATTATATGAAAACCAAAGGACTGTGCCTGTTGTTTACCCTAGAGGACTGTGCTATCTGCAAACAAGGATTAACACACACTTGCGCATATGTGTGTATATATATATATATATATTAGTTCTACGTATATTATTTTTGTAATGTTTTTGCATAATTAAGTCATTTTATTCATCACAATTTGCGGGACCTGCCTGATAACCCAGGCAGAAAGTCCAGAAAATTTAACTTGCTAGCACTATATTTAACCCTGTAAGTTTCCAAGACACAATAAAACCTGTACATGTGAATTACTGATTTACTCAGAAGACTTCACTGAACACAAATATTAATGTTTCAAAACAGTAAAATGTATTACAACGATGATATCATCAGTGAAAGTGACATTTTTTGTATTTTTCACACACAAATGGCACTAACACTGCCGATATAATTGTTGTGATACGTTTTACGGTTTTGAAACACTAACATTTGTGTTTAACAAAGTCTGAGTTTAACAGTAACCCTCATGTACAGGTTTTATGGTGTCAAATTTAAGTCTTGTGTTTTAGTTTTTTCACACTGAAATTTCCAGGTTGGTTACGTTGCCTTTGAAACCGTATGGTAGCCCAGGAATGAGAATTACCCCCGTGATGGCATACCATTTGCAAAAGTAGACAACCCAAGGTATTGCAAATGGGGTTTGTCCAGTCATTTTTAGTAGCCACTTAGTCACAAACACTGGCCAAAATTGGCGTTCAAATTAGTTTTTTGCATTTTTCATGCACAAACAAATATTACTGCTAACTTTAGCCACAGCCACACACAGCACTCACTCTCTCTTACTTACCATCAGCTTGGGATGGAGGAGGAGTGGAGTCAGTCCCTGGTGAGTAGTAGTTGCGGAAGCAGGTACTCCTTCCTGCTTCCCCTCTGTGTGCAGCAGTAGCAGCAGTGAGTGGAGGCCACCTTTAGCGTAGCCCCAGCTGCCGATAACGTCTAACCGGACCTTAGAATGGCCGGACTTAACGTCTCCAAGAATAGTCAGAATACTTGCCGAGGTCAGGGATAGAGAATCAGACACAGCAATGAGAAAAGGCCAAAAGTCAAAGATACCAGAAATAAGGGAGTCAGAACGAAGCCAAAGACAAATACCCCCAAAAAATCAAGATCAGGAACGCACTCTCGGATTACCATCAGGCAGAAACCACGAGAGGGCAATGAGAGAATGTAAAAAATGAGTTTAAATAACCCTCCTGTTATTCGGATTGGTTGTAACGCACGCTGACATCATCAACGTGGGCAGCGATGGGCTATAAAGTGTCATATATCCGCAGCGGCCGGCATCCCTAGACATGCTCGGTTTATCAGGTATCCGGGCACATGGTTGCCCCCCTTAGTACACCACTGAACACAGGTAAGGGTGCATAAATTAGTATTGCACTATGGAATATTGTCTTTTAATGTAATTTGTGTAGTGCCTTAAGGACATGCCGGTCTGGCAGAGATAGTATTGTCAATGTCAAAAGGGTTCATTTGATTGTATGGAGGTCAAAAGAGGTTAGATCTTTTGAAGCTGGGACCACCCACCGAGGTCAGATGACAGAAGGGGTCATTTGAATGACATAGGGATGTGAAAAGGATCTTACCATATAGATGCGATGTAATCAAGGCTCTGCAAGGTATGAGGTTCTACACTTGGAAAAAGTCTGAATGTCTCTTCATCCATTTGGCATGAACCTTGTAACTGATGAGGTAATCTCTTGATATGTTAATGGCCATTAGCCTTGTTCCAGTATCATATCCAAAGTAAGGAAAAAACATTCATATTTACCCCACAGAAGAATAATTAAGCCTAATTTTTGTTATATTTGGAATGTGACCAGCGGCTTCTTCTAAACAAGCCCAAACATAAGTGGTATGGCTTGAGGGAATTGTCATGTCCGCCATGTTGGGTCGTGAGTAAGGAATATAGCATGTCTATGGATTGGGAAAATTAATAATGAATTCATAGAAGCAATTATTATTTCTGTGGCAGATACATAAAAGATAGAGCCAAATGTTTCCATTTGGATTGAGGTTGGTCTGTTAACTCCACCCCTGGGCAAAACTTGATAATCCACAGGGTATATATCCAATGATTTGGAGGGGTGTTCGTGTACTTGCTTGGGGCCAAAATCTAATTTTCAGTAAGTCACCATCTTCCTTGCCGGAGACCCCTGGGCAGAAGTTTTACTTTGAAAACCTAAGTAAGTAAGTGTTTAGGACTTCTGTATCATGAGTAGGGGCATGTCTACTAAACAGAGTCCCTAAAAAAGTCCCCTAGTGTTCCCCCCTCCCGAGCCATGAGCTGCGGGTGGGGGCCCTAAATGAAAATTGGGGAGAACCTATTGTCCTCCCCCCCGCCCCTCACCCATTAGCGGTGAGTGGGGGCCCTAAATGACTATGGGTGGGACCCCCTCCCACCCCCACGCATGGGTGACGGGTGGGGGATAAATGTAAACCCCTAAATGTAAAGCACTCTGATTGGCTGGCCTTTCCGCACCCTGCGGAGCTCAGTGTGCGTGGTGCCCTTGCTGGGTGAAGATGCTTTTTTTTTTTGGCGCCTGGTTTTTTTGTCAGTTTTTTTTTGCGCTTGGGGTTTTTTTTTATTTAAACAGTTGCCACGGGTATTATGGATATTTATTTGGCCTTTTATGGGGCTGAAAAAAGATTTTAGAAAAAAAGTGGTAAGTTATTTTTTATTTACAGGTATTTAGTTTTCTTGTTCCCCCTCACTATTTTTAGGGTGATGGGGGTAGGTCTTTATTAAAAACATTTTGGATGGGGCCAGGGGGGAGGGAGAGGGAGGAGGACAATAGGTCCCCCGCATAGTCATTTAGGGCCCCCACCCGCCGCTCATGGGTGGTGGCCATTGGTGAAGACAATAGGCCCTCCCCCATTTTCACTTAGTGCCCTCACCCGCCGCTCATGGGTGGGAGCTGAGGGAGGACAATAGATCCCCCCCCATTTTCATTTAGGGCCCCCACTCGCCACTCATGGGTGGGGACCGGGGGGGCAATAGGCCCTTCCTTCAATTTAATAGCCCCTACTTGCATGGCACAGGTGGGGGCTTAGGAGGGAGGACACTAGGGTGTTTTTTTTAACAGTAAGCAGCCACAGTCTTCTGTTTAGTAGACATGTCCCTACTCACGGCATAGCGAGTAGGGGCATTCGGGAGATTTTAATCTCCCTTATCCTATTATGGGGGTCATATTAACCCTCATAGAATTAGGGAGGACTGCTCCCTGACGCTTCTATTTTTACATATTACAAGGAGGGAGCTGTGCGCCGGTATCTCCCTCCTTGTAATAAACCAAACTAAGAGGTTTGGTTCATTCGTTTGAAATTTCTATTCATTTATTCATCTTTCTGACGAATGAATGGATGAAATTACTGTTCGCATGCCCAAGGGCATGCATGGGGATTTCACAACGCTATCTAGTGTGGGCAGATGACATGTCCCACAGGGACTTCTTCTACCCACACAAAGATTGTGACGCCCAAGACCTAGGTCTGGGCACAAAATAAAGATAAAAACATAGGTAATATGGGGGGCTTAGGGGCAAATGGATGTAACTAGAGGGACAATTAGATATAGTGGAGTTGGGAGGAGGTTTATAAAAAAGCTGATCCATGTGTAGTGAAACTTTGGACTGGAGGTTGCTTGCCAGGAACGAAATGTGCCCGATTCATTAACAATAAATTGTATGTCAAAAATATCTACTTAGGGCGCAGATAACTGAGAACTAACGCTCGGGCAGTAGAGCTGTCAATAACATAGGACCCTCTTAGTGGTTAGCTGGTGAGTAATTAGGCCAGCTATGTCAGCTTTGGAACGTGCCGTACATGGCTCATGCAATTGAGAGGGAGTAGTGTACATCCCTATGCAATGTGTATGTGTGTGGGGTGGTGGGGAGGAATTAACTAGGCAAGGTGTCTGGCCGTTAGCTTACAGAGCCAGATGAGAGGTGCGAGTTGATAATATATTTTGATTACATTGGAATTTCAGTTAAATACCAACAAAGACAATAAGAGTATTTCATAAAGGTTTTATTTATATAAAATACTCAAAAGTAATATCTCCATGATACAGCCATGACATTGAGGCATGTGTAATTTGTATTCATGTTTTTTATTTTGCATCATAAAAGCTAAATGTGCTGCACCAATACATGGAGTAGCATACCGACAGAACAGAGTTTTGCAAAGTAAAACCAAAGAATATCTGACTGTTCAACATACATATTTTGTAATCTATAGCATTCATCACCAGGATTTAATTAATAGTTTTTCTCAAATAAAATCGCATTGATGAAATCAAATCACCTACAACTAGTTTTTTTTTCCCCGGATGAACTAAATGTGTCTAGCTCCCATTCCAAAAAACAATTTTCCAAGCTAGCCCTGGGTGTCTTGCGAAGTTGCATTTTCTTTCTACCTATTGGCAGGAAAAGACTAAAACTGCTACTGCAGACTACTTAAAAGACAGTTTAGGCACACTCCAGGGCAAAAAAACACAACTTAAGTGCATTTAATAGGTTTTGACATCATATTCATGCTGCATTTTTCTTTACATTCCAATCGCTTTAATTCATCTAAAAAAAGAAAAAAAAATTGCAGCTTTTTGCAGTGTAACTATTCCCTTTTCTCTACACCGCCACTTTTCACTAAGCAACTTCCTTATTAGACTCGCTCTGGGTGTGCACTCAGTACAGACAATGAGAAATCTGTGTGAGCTTAACTGCTGGCACCAATCCTCTACAAAGCCACTGCCCTTATATTATCTTCCTTTTATAACCATAGAACAGCTTGGAAATGCTATACAAAGGCACAGACTGAACATTGGGGAAACTGTCCATATGCTTGTGGGTCATTATGGCCATGGGCCGAGGTTAACAAGAGAGAACAATGAATACCCCCAGAGGGGCCTCTGCAGATCAAAGATCTCCCTCACCTACCACTTTAATGCCAGAGGTTCTTTGCTACTATATCAGAGTATTACAATTGCAACAAATTGATAATTCTGCAAGCGCCGTCCCAGAAGGAGTAGTCTACACTACAACTTGCGCAGACAGCTGCAACTCCCACCAGAGTACAGGTATTCTCCTCCCTGGCCCAAGGTAAGCCACAGGGGGAAGCAAATAAACGTTATTTTATTTTTTTACGCTTGCGCATTAGCCCCAATCCCTCCCACACTTCACAGTCCCTACCCTCCACGTAGTACAGACCCTTTCTTCCATTCACTACAGCCCCTAAACCCAATGTACTACAGCTGCTAAGTCCCCACATGCTGCAACCCCTCTCCCCACCATATGCTACAGCCCTATTTTAAATTATTATTTGTTTTTAATACTTCCCATTAGCCCCTATCCTCTACAGTCCCTATCTCCCAAACCTACAGCCCCTAAGCCCCAATATACCACAGCACCTAACGTCACACATGTTACAAGCCCTATCCCCCCATATACTACAGTCGC